ATGTTAGCTGTTTTAAGTACGCTGAATTAAGTAGTGTATTATCTGAATCCTTGACAAAGGTAGACTGAAGTTTTTGGTACAGGAGGAAGTTGAGGGAGAAGGAGTCAATAACGATGAAACAACTGACAACTTGTCAGCTGAAGACGATTGTGATACCCGGGTCTCTGATACTGCCGCGCAAGACGAGGAACGGTGTCTTCCCAATGATCCCAGCGAATCCGTCATGGTGGAGTTCCATTTTTGGTTGACCTAATTATAAAAACCTAATTTTAAGTAGCTTTTAGTAGCTTCTACTAAAACTATTAAGCTTAGGTTTCTGACAATCAGACGAGTCGGGAGACAAGAGATGCCATCGAAGTTAGGATTAACTGGAATAATGTTGATGGAAATATTGCATCTCTTTACGCACGATCTCTGGCTTTCCAAACGAAATGTATGAGATGCAGTTGTCCAGGTTTTATGAACTGTGTTGAAAAGCAGCTGACGACTGCACATTGCAAACAGTTCGTTTTTAACGTCAAAATGGTAGAAGACCAAAGCTCTAGTTTTTGTTTGACCAGTTTATTCAGAGAGACTTTTTTTTATTGCGCAAACGGCGGTGTTGATAGCCGCTGAATGCTGGATGTTTTTTTTTTTAGCATTGTAATTATATGGTTTTACAATCACGTCTTGAACTGTATTGTTTATCGAAGGGTAGAGTTTGGTCTTAATAGGTTAGGCAGCATTTTAGGTTTGTAAAGCATCTGACTATTTACTTTTTTACAGCTAAATTGGAAGTGTCGGAGGCATTGTTCCTGCCATTTTATGTGTAGTTCAGTGTCGACGGTGGAAGAGAGGGGCGTCTAGATAGTAAGAAAATTTAGTAGTCGATGGCTAGCAACTCATAAGACTTCGTCTTTAGTTGCTTTGGATTTTCTTGGGCGGCAGAAAAATGTACAGATGGACCGAGAAAGTGTTCTTTTTTCTTTCTTGGTTCTTCTTGCTTCTGACCTTTCTGTAACTGAGGTAGCTTTAGCGGAACGTTGAAGGGACGTTGATGGTTTATGGTAACTTGTTTGTAATAAATGAAGAAATTAGACTCAGTTAAGAGGAGTAAAATGACTGGAATTAGCTCAACTTTTTGATCAATTAACAACCCTTGCAAGATTTGGAAGCCATTTGTTTTAAATACGAACTGGTTTTAGGTGTAAAAACCGCCAATCCATGTTTTTTGAACCGAAACTTGTGCATGAATTTTCAAATGTTATTGCCATATTGGAACCTAAAGGGTGCAGACCAGTAGATTGTGTTCTAACCTCTTCATCTCTCAGATTCGTGTGTTTAAATTGTGACAAAATGGCGATTACTGAGGTGTTAAAACTTCTTGAGTGTTTTTTCTTTTTAATTTTAAGTTTTCTCCAATGTTTCTTCCATTTTTATTTCTAGAATCTTACCTATGGTTCGTCTCATAAATCTTGGTGTCATAATTGTCACTCCAAGTGCGAGTTCTCTATTAGTTCACTGCGGTTTTCTGGTAACGTTAATTCGATAGCTTTAGAAGATTCTTCTATGAAAAAGCTTCAGGTAATGGTTGATTTAATTTACGTTACTTTAGTTGGCCTTCACATTACTTTCTTACTAGTTTTTCAGAGGTATTAGGTTTTGCTGATAATAAGTGAAGTTCCCTTGTAGGTGGCGAAAAAAAAGAAGGTTGACCAGCAGCTTGTAATTGTTGAGGGAGCACCTCTGCCCGAATATGGCACATGTAAACATTTTAAAAAAAGTTATAGGTGGTTCAGGTATCAAAACTTACCTCAAAATATTTGCTTTATTTATATGAAATTACTGTTATCAGTTTTTTAATGAGAGAGCAAAAAATATTTCAATTTTTTAAACTAACGTCTCTTGAAGATTTCCATGTTGTGGTAAGGTTTACCCATGCGATCAGTGTCATGATGATGGTGAAACAGAACATGAGATGGTTTTCGCGACCCGAATAATCTGTGGATTCTGTAGTAAAGAACAGGTTTCTGTTGGCTTCATATGTTGTTTCACAAAAGGCATGATCAATTATTTATGTGTATTTGTGGCCGTTGTGGGAAAATTTTAATAACATTTATATACTAAGTACTGTAAAGGGAGAAATTTTTGTTCGGTAAAATAATTGTCTATTAATCTGTGTTTTGTAGTTAAATTACGATTGTTTTTTAAGCCTTATATTGGAAACAAACCCTGCTCGAACTGTAAGAATGCTGTCATTGCGTCGAAGTCGTCATTTTGGGAAGGCGGAAAGGGATGTCGAGATAAAACAAAAATGAACCGGTAAAGAGTTAATCTTTTTCAGTTCGTGTTATAATTTATCTCTTTAAGCGGCTAATGTAACGTATTAGCCGTTGTTAGAAACTTTCAAGGAAATTGTTGTGATCTATATACTAGTTAAATTTTCAGAGGTGAGCGGAGGAAGTATACCGGTAGTGCTTTAAAAACGGCTCCTAAAAAAAGAACTGTAAATAGGGAGAAACGGAAGAGCAAAAGTGGATCTGAAAAAGATGTTGCTTCTTGAAACACCCAGCATTCAGAAAACTGAGCATTTGTAGCACTTTCCATTATTTCATTTCTTCCATGGCTGTTATTTTTGCTTTTTTTTTCATAACTTTAGTCGTTTTCCTTTTTGTAATTTTTACCTTAATTGTCTTCTTGCTGTTGCTGATCTTTCGTCTTCTTAATTTCTGCTGCTCTTCTCTCTCTTTGCTTTTATGTCGTTTCGCTTTACTTTTACGTAAATTTAATTATCCTTTCATTCTTCTCCTTTATGTGATTTTTCCTCAGGACTTTGCTTCCATTTTCTTCTACTATTCGCTTTTTGCTTTTCCTCTGATTTTCATACTTGTTCTTCTCTACTCTTTTCGTTGCTTATCCGCTTTTGGTATTTTTCTGTTTATAATAGTCATTTGCTTCTGTCTGGTGCCTTGATATCAAGCTTTCTTCCCCGTAGTTTTGTTTGCCCTGTTTTATTTTTTTCCTCTCCCGGTCAATTTTCTCTTATTCTTTGTGTCGAGTTGTCGTCTTGCTGCTGCACCATTTTTCGCTTTTCTTCGTGCTCCTTTTCGCTTCTATTCCCATTTTTCTTTGTAATTTGATCTATTACTTTCTCACTCTTCTTCTTCAATCGGAAAACTAGTTCTTATTTCTTAGGAGGAGAGGCAAGGGTTTGGGTCTGTTCGCAAGTCTAGGCCCAAGCGTAAGCTTAAGCGTTTGCGGAAAAGTAGCGTTTATGGTTAGTCTAGGTGCAGGCTGAAAGGTCGTGCCGAATGAAAGTTGAAAAAGCTAGCTGTGAGGGATGGAATTAAACGAAGGCGTCAGTTTCTACTTAGAGTTTGTTACAAATAAAACAGATACAACTAATTTTCTAGAAGAGCCTTAATAAGGGTTGGACTAAAGTTCAGTTTCTGTTTTGACAGCAGTATCAGACGTTGTTGACTGCTCAGTAACCGTTGAAGAAATCACTTGTGACTATCAGTTGACGAAGCAATTTGTTGATAATTGTAAATACGTGAGTAAATATTGTAAATTTTTGCACTAGCTGTTCGTTTAATTGGCAAGTTGGATGACTAAATTTAGCTTAAATAGCCTGAGAACAAAAGAGGAGTTGTTGCGTAAAGCTCTCTTGCTTTTTTAAAATGTTTCAAGGTGTCTTCAGTAGTATAAGTACCATTAAAAGCTGTGTGAACTTCATGATTTTCTTGAGGTTTTTTTGAAAGGATAGGGGAGGGATTTTACATGTGTACATTGCTTATGGTAAGAAATTACAGTTTTCAGAGTTTAGGGTTGAGCGAAAGGTTGGTAAAAGGTGAATAAGATCTTCATAAGATTCATAGCCAAATTGGTAGGCATGCTTGGGAATTTGGGAGCTCTGAAAACACGAAGATTTCTGCATTGATACCGTAAATTAAGTGGAGTTTTTTTCACAGGCGAACTTCATAAAACATTACACTGAGAATTATGTAGCTTTAAGGGAATGAAAGAAGAGTTTTTGGAAGTAGTATTAAAGAGTACGCTCTAGAGTATTACGTGTAGGGAATTGCAGGTCTTCAAAGGACTCAACTGAATGGAGGTAACCCAACAGGGTGAGAAGTAACCAGAAGTTTTTTTTGCTGGAATTAAAAAAGGTTGTATTAGTAGATCAAATCTGGCGATAAAAAAACGTTTGGTAATTGGTAATTTTTTAATAGGACCAAAGTTTAATAAATCATGTTTTTTTTTTTTTTTTTTTT